GTTGCCCTGGGGGGGTGTGTTGGGCCGGGTGGGAATGCTTCCATTACATGTGTTTATGTGACACGGTAGTGATGGCTTCCATGCTGAATGTTTACATCCTGTTCCCTTTTTTTTTCCATGACGTTTCCACTCACAAGCAGCTGTAAAGCTTAACAAAAGAGTTTCCATTCCTCGTCTTTTGTGTGTGTGTGTGTGTGTGTGTGTGTGTGTGTGTGTGTGTGTGTGTGTGTGTGTGTGTGAGAGTGAGTGAGTGTGCAGGCAGGAGGGAAGTAATTGACTCATTGCATTTCCAGGCTGTATCCGGCGGGGTCTTGCTCGCCAAAGCCTTGCAAACAAACGGCCGTCTTCCTATTGTCTGTCCTTCCCCTCGACATCCAAAATGGCTGCCTCACCCCAAAATCGGCTCCTGTTTAAAACATTAACTTGACATTTTGATGATAAATGAAAATTCTCCACTCTTTAACGTCATTTTAATTGAAGGTGAAAATGAAGGCATCGAATGAAGATGCGAACTGAGAGGCTAACATCTCGTGCTAGCTTATTAGCCGCCATATTGTTTCACTTCACTTGCGCGTCACATCACGTTCCGTTACAATGAAAACACCTTAAATTCAGTCTGTATCAACTTAATAACCCAACATTACCTCAATTGCTATCGTGATAAGACGTCATTGTGCTAACGCAAATAGTGAGCGTTAGCATGAATCTTGACGTTTACATAAACATCACCAAAGGAACGTCTTTTCAAATGATAACATCACGAAAATACCTATGGATAACAATACAAGCTTGTTCATACCAACGATGCCAACAGAACAATGTGTAATGTTTTGACTTCAAATCGAAATGACCTCAACGGTATTTTTCGTTTTGTGACCATCCCCCTCCCCGTATGACCTCACTGCTGTCAGAGTACCCCTCAAGGGAAGCTTCTTGTAATGGAGCCTTGCAATTGTCTCTGGACAGACAGAACTGGTTGTCGACAGGGATCGGTGATGCGTACAGGTCAAGAGGGTGGAGAAGCACCTGAGGCGCGCGCGCACACACACACACACACACACACAAGTAGAAACCTCCCAAAATAGACGTTAAGTTTTCATCATTCCTGTGATGATTTTGTTGATTATTTCAAACCGTTTTTTGTCTGTTTGTTTGTGTGCGCGTCTGTGCCGTAGAGTGTCGCCGCTGCAGAAGTCTGAAATCGTGGACATGGTGAAGAAGCACGTGAAGGCCATCACGCTGGCCATCGGCGACGGCGCCAACGACGTGGGCATGATCCAGACGGCGCACGTGGGCGTGGGCATCAGCGGCAACGAGGGCATGCAGGCCACCAACTCCTCCGACTACTCCATCGCGCAGGTGTGGCCGCGCTGCTCGCTTGCATCAGATTGTATTTCAAACATATAATGGATTTTGATGATATAATGGCAATTAGGATGAATGTTTAAAAAAAAAAAAAATACTGTGTTTCAGTGTGTCCCATTTTTTCCCCATAGTTTGATTCAGCACTAAGATTTTTTATCGATAAAATTTAACTTCAATAATTATAGTGGTAAAACTATTATTTTTTTGTTGAGTAAAATATAATATTCAAACTTAATGATGAATATAATAAATAAAAAATGTTCACATCTACCAAATATTTGGTTCTGTCCTAACAATGATGACAATCAAGAATAACAAACATTTTTGTTTTTGTTGTTGAGTAAAATAAAATAATCCAATAAAGGAAAATAAAATCTGGAGTAAAAAAAAAAAAATTTCCCGGACACATACAAATATAAACACATTTAATCCTACAAGGTTTAACAGATTTTTGTAGTCACTAAAATCAGTCAATAGGAAAAAAAATCTACATGTAAAAATTTTCAAATCTAACTTTACATCAATGAAAAAAAAAACCCAAATCAATTAAAAAATTGAAATTAGGAAAAATTCTTCAGAGATGGTGCCCTCATAAAAAACCCAAAACAACATAAAACATAATCCCAACAATCCTGAATAAACCCATTTGTTTCAAACAGCCTCATTTCCATCATCATCAGGGTTTAAAATTCCCCAAAGCAGATAAAATGGAAGACAAAAGGAATTTCAACCCTTAATTCCAGAGTTTATCTTGTCAGTGTGATACACACATGCACACGCACACAGGCGGTGTCATTTTACACTGTTTGTTAAAAAAAAAAAATTATCTCGCTGCCCCCCCCGGGCTCCTCACACAATCTGCCTGCCGATCACGGCAACACTCGTCTGCACTTTCCCCTTCATATTGGTCATAGTCTGGCTACTTCACGAAATTTGGAATCTTTGAATTAAGTGCGTTTATAGTCATACAAAAAAAATGCAATGTTGGTTTTTTTTTTTTTGTTTTGTTTTGTTTTTTAACACCGCAACATAGCTGCTATTTAGCGTTAACATTAAGACAGTGGACTGGAAGACAAATTTGTTTGGGCGTTTTAAATGGCGACATAATTCTCTTGATTTCGTATGTGTGTGTGTGTGTGTGTGTGTGTGTGTGTGTGTGCGCACGTGTGATTGACAGTTCTCATACCTGGAGAAACTGCTGCTGGTGCACGGCGCGTGGAGCTACAACCGTGTCACCAAGTGCATCCTCTACTGCTTTTACAAGAACGTAGTGCTCTACATCATCGAGGTACACACACACACACACACACGCACACACACGCACGCACACGCACAGACAGTTGCATGAACAGAGACGATTTGCAGCTGTTGCCCAACACGCTTGACAGTGATGGACGAGGTGCCCTTGTGGTGTCTGCTTTCTGTCTCCGATGCACAGGCGAAATGTTTAGATAGGCGCTGTTGAGACCTTGGCTCCGACAATCAGCGTTGTGTGTATGTGTGTGTGTGTGTTTGTGTTTGTGTTTGTGTGCTCCCAAAAAGTGTGGCCCTTTTTACAAAACAAGCACGAATCCATCGAGGAATGCGCCAATACTTGACGTCCGATACCATGAGAACGATACCGCAAGACGAGCCTGACATATACCATTGGCGTAGGAGCCATGTTAGCCGTGACTTATCCTAACATTTTCCGATCCGCTTTATCCTCACAAAGGTCGCGGGGGGTGCTGGAGCTTATCCCAGCTGTCTTTAAGCAGTAGGCGGGGGACACCCTGAACCGGTTGCCAGCCAACCGTAGGGGCACACAGAGATTCGCGCTCCCACCTATGGACAATTTCGAGTGTTCAATCAGCCTGCCGTGCATGTTTTTGGAATGTGGGAGGAAATCTGAGTACCCGGAGAAAACCCACGCAAACTCCACACAGGGAGGCCAGAGCTGGAATTGAACCCGGTACCTCTGCACTGTGAGGTTGACGCACTAACTAAATAATTTCCCAAAATTTCTGTCTGATATTTTTTACTTCTTTGGAGGGCGGGAGGGTCTATGTTTTAATTCAAATATGTGTGTATTTTCTAAATGTTGCATGGCCATCATAGCAACTGAAGGGCCCCCAGATAGCAAAGGATTTCCCTCCCGTTTCAGGCTCTTTGTGTTTGTGTGTGAGATCAGCTGTCCTTGCCTGGCTGTTTTGAAACAGTGGGGGGGCTGTCAGCTGTGCCCCCCAAACCCCCTTGACCCACCCACGTCCCTGCCCCGACCGACTGTCTGTCTGACATTAAGGATGCCGGCAGGTGCAGTTCCTAATGGCACTCTACTGTGCGTGTGTGTGTGTGTGTGTGTGTGTGTGTGTGTGTGTGTGTGTGTGTGTGTGTGTGTGTGTGTGTGTGTGTTACTATCTCCTATGTCAGGCTCCGTTGAGGCCAAAAGGTGGAAGAGCATCTTGAGGGGAGGGGGGAGGTCACAAACAACATGGCGCCATTGTCAAAGAAGAATGTAGCCACTGTGTATTATACAAAATACAAAGAGGAAGATGCCGTTCATTGATTGCGCTTGGGTCACAGAAACTCTCCCCGCTTCGCTTTTTTTATTTTTTCACCAAGGCTGTATATGAAATTCAAAACGTAGTGTCGTATTATTGTCAAACACACGATGAATATATTTCTCTTTGGTAAGGCCTTGTGGCTTCATCATGGAAAGTTTTTTTTTTTTTTGTAAAAGGTCATGTGATAGGAAAGAGCATTTTTGATTGGCTGAGAATCTTAGAACAAATTAAGTTTTGGCTTGCTTTTTTCTGTAAAAGTAACTATTTTACACATTTTTTCCCCCAATTTTTTTTCTCTTGTAATATTACGGCTGAGTTCCGTTTGTTCCCCATAGAATGTTTTTTTTTTTTCAATTTCCTGTAAAAAAATATAACTTAAATTTTTTACTAGAATCATTCAAATTAAAAAAATTTATTCTTGGAAAAAGATTTTTACACTTTTACATTTCAAGCAAAAAGATTCTGAAAAAAAACATTTATTTTGCATTGTAAATTCAAGGAAATATTTTTTTCTTGTCATATTTTGACTTTTTTTCTCCAACGTCATAATATTTTGAAAGATTACAACTTTTTTTTCTAAACATCTATTTTTGTGTTTTTTTTAAATAACACTACAACCATCACAGCTGGATTGTGACCTTTTTGTTGAGGAAAAAAAAAGCTTTTTTTTTGTGTGTAACCTCCCGCTACAACTTGCCTTTGGGAAAAAAAAATGTACAGCTTGTAGAAATCTGACAATTTTGCATGACACGCTCCCTTCGGTTGCGTGTTTCTGTTGAGGTCAATTAGGCAAAACCTCATGTTCGGCGTGATGTTCGCGGGTGCGTTTTCACCACATTCCAGTGATGGATACCAGACGGCGCAATGGATTTGCAGGAAATCCGACATCACGTTTGAACACTTCATACATCAGCGGCAGACGCGCTTAAACTGGAATGCAACCCAATCTGCGTGTTGTCTGATGAGCCTCATTTGACTTTGCGCTGAATGGCGCGAATGAAAATGCACACGCGACAGCGAACGTGCGCGTCTCCGTCGTCACTCAAATACGACGTCAATCTTGAAATAAGCTTTTCTTGCAATCGATCAGTTGCTGAATATCCAAATCAAAGTCCTTTGTCAGCCAAACAGCTTCTCTACAAGTGGACAACAGCAGCACAAAAGCAGGAAGTTGTGATAACGAAATAATGTCTGGCGAGGGTCTCCTCACCCACGTCGCTGTTGTTTTGTGTCTGTCCTCAGCTGTGGTTTGCCTTTGTCAACGGCTTCTCAGGACAGATCCTCTTTGAGCGCTGGTGCATTGGCCTCTACAATGTGGTGAGTAACCTCTGATGGGCGAGCAAGCCGTTCGTTCGACTTGTCGACTAAGACGCTTTTCCAAACACACCTTTAGCCCACCCACCCACTTTTGGAAAGGTTACAGCTTCTGGGGAAAATGTCAACAAGATTATGCCTTATTTCTCAAAAATGCAACTTTTATCCCGAAAAAAAATCTTTTTTTTTTTTCGCCTCACCAAACTTTTTCTTGAAAAAAAAAAAAGTTATGACATATATATAGAGAGAGAGAGAGAGAGAGAGATTTTTTTATTGGACTGTTTTAATGGAATTAATACTTTCTTTTTTGCAAATGTCTGACTTTTGTATTAGAATTTTTTTTTTCGTGTGCTTTTTCTTGAAGATCAACAGGATCCTAAACGTTTCGTCCCCAAAAAATACATTCTACAGCTTTTTGACTTTTTCACATCAATAACGTTTTCTTTCTTGCATATTTGAATTTTAGTAGAAAATCAGCTTTTTTTAAAACAATATTTAAATATATTTACAACTTTAAAATGGTATTACATCTTTTTTTTTTTTTTAAATCTGAAAAAATTTGTTTTTTTTTTTTTCACAAAAGCACAAATTCTAATATATTTACAACTTTTAAATTTGGAAAACCCATCTTTTCTCCCAGAATATTACAAATTTTGTCCTGGGAGAAGTCCACCTTTTCACTCTGTGAAAAAAAATTTCACATCACGAGCTTCCCCCCCTTTGAAAATAAATAAATAAATAAATAAGTAAGATCACTCAGTTTGTTAGGAAAAGTGCTTTTTCCTCAAATAATACTTTTTTCCCCCCATGATCGTAAAAGCTTTCTCAGAAAATGACACTTTTGTTAAGCATTATAAAACTTTTTTTTTTTTTAAAGCCTTTCATGCACCCTGTAACCTGATAACATGATAAACTGTCCACTGTCGTAATCGATGTCCGCGGATGGGTTAATCCACTTTTTTTTATACTACAAAATTCCTTCTTGAAAAAAACACTTGGAAAAATACATAATTTCATTCCGAGTGTCTTTTCTTAATATGATGCTGTGTGCATTTAATGTATTGCGTGTGTGTGTGTGTGTGTGTGTGTGTGTGTGTGTGTGTGTGTGCGTGAGTGTGTGTGTGTGTGTGCGTGAGTGTGTGTGTGTGTGTGTGTGTGTGTGTTTCCCAGATATTCACGGCCCTGCCTCCGTTCACTTTGGGCATCTTCGACCGGCCGTGCAGCCAACAGAACATGCTGCGCTTCCCTCAACTCTACCGGATCACCCAGAATGCCGAGGGCTTCAACACCAAGGTGCTCGCACAACCAACACGCACACACACACAAAACACACAGTCTCGCTCGGCATTGGCACGGTCTCATGAGGTTTTGGCGAGCGCTGTTTGTTTGGCGCGCCGGCAAGTCAACAAGAGTGTCCGAAAGGGGCGGGCCTGGGCCGTTTCCATGGCGACCCTCGGGAGATTCATAGGTGGCGGATAAGGAAGTCTTTCTTTCGGTGGCTGCAGTCTGTCGTACGTGTGTTCAATATTCACGTGTGTGTGTGTACAGAATGTTTTATTTTTTTTAACGTGTGTGTGTGTGTGTGTGTGTGTGTGTGTGTGTGTGTGTGTGTGTGTGTGTGTGTCTTCAGGTGTTTTGGGGTCACTGTATCAACGCACTGATTCACTCGATTATTCTCTTTTGGTTTCCTCTCAAGATGTTGGAGCATGGTGAGTATGTCAGCGTGAACGCTCATTGAGTCATATTTTTTTTTCCTTCTATCATCTCTTTATTTCTTGGGGAAAAAAAGTTTTCAGAATGTTTCAAAATAATTTTATTGGTATTTTTGGTTGGGATATTGTGATTTTTGTTTCAAAAAAGAGACTCCTAACAGTACAACTTTATTTTGTGTTCTAATTGGTTTTTCTTAAAAATAAAACAGCAAGTGGATGGATAATTTGACTGGTTCAGAAAATAGATGGAGGAATCCTTTTCATAAATTATGACTTAGCAAAAAAAAAAAAAAAAACCTTTGTGAATTTTGACCAAAAATTTGGGTTAAATTACAACTTTTTCTTTTTCCTTTTTTTTTAATGCATTCCAACTTTTTTTGCATTTAATATTAACGAGGTTATTCCGCACCTTTTTTTCTGAATAGCTCTCCCTTTTTTTTTTTTTTTTTAAAAACCTTAACACATAAATCAACGTGTGTTTTTGTGTGTGTGTTTGTGCGTGCACAGACTCGCCCTTCAAAAACGGTCAGGGCAACGACTACCTTTTTGTTGGAAACATGGTCTATACGGTGAGTTTTCTCTCTTTTTTTTTTTTTTTCTTTTTTGCACAATAATCTGCTGGACTTTTGTCTCCTCCTTCGGAGGGGTGAGGCGGGCGCTTCTTCCCGTCTGTGTCTGACACACACAATCGCAATGTTCCTCCCTAACACCCCAGTGGATGATTTGAGGTATTTTTGTGCGCCAGCGATCTGAGACCGTTTGTCATTGGTTGTGTCTGCAGTATGTCGTCGTCACAGTGTGTCTGAAAGCTGGAATGGAGACCACCGCTTGGACCCGGGTAAGCGCATTGAGACCCTCGTACTTCCCCCCCCGGCTCCAACCAACCAACCGCCCGCTATGAATTACGGCTCGTATCGAAAGGCCAACAAGTGGAAGGAAATGCGATCGGGGGGGAAAAAAAATGCTATTCGCTTACCAATGTTTTTTCCAGGCACTTTTTATATGGGACAATATCAGCAATGGGAATAATGGAATTGGGGGTATAAAAAAAGGTTTTAAAAATGATAATGTTAGAAGAGTACACCGGCAAAATTACAAGGCAAATTAAAAAAAAAAGTCATTTTAGTTGCGTAAAGTGCTAAAATTATGAAGGAAAATATCAAATATATAATTTTACAGGACATATTAATATTCCAAATAAAATCTTAAATCTAATAAGGTTCTGGCTGAAGATAGACTGAAGAAAGATTTTATTAGAATAATTATTTTCCCCCCCAAAAGTGCAAACCTTTTCATTTTAGTAGTTTTTTTTCTATAAATAAAAAAAAGTTGATATTGTATAACTTATTTTCTAAAAATGAATCTGAATTTGTCTCTTTTTTTTAATTATTTTTTTTAATTGTTCCTTTTTGTGATTTTGATTTTTTTTCATAGTAATTGTCATTTTCCTATTAAAAATGTGTAATAGTGATTTTCTTGGTTTTTTTGGTACTTAAAAAAAAATAACACCTTTTACAAATCTGGAATTTTACTACGACTGAAGAGGAAAATCCGACTTTCCAACATTACTACTTTTTAAAAAATAATTTTCATCAAGATCTTTTTCTTTCAAAAATATGAGTCTTTATCATGGAATAATTTAGTTAAAACATTCTTCACCTTTTTTTTTCCCCCTCTCATAAAAAATAATTCTTAAACAGAATCTTACTCACGCTTTAATAATTGAATATGATTCCACCTCCTGTATGACGAAACATATGGAACAGATCAGGTGTTTGACACATTTGACGCTAAACAGCCACGGGCGGACACGCCGCGCATTGCTAGCGCTGTGAACACGCAAGCAGGGCTGCTAAATGTTTGGCAGGCACACCAGATGCATTTCCACACGACGTGTCAGCCAACAGCTGAGCGCGGAAACGGGAACACAACTCACAGATGGACATTTTTTTTTTTTTTTTTTTTTTGGGGTGGCTTTTATGACTGGAATTGACACCCCTTGTAGCACATCACAGAGTGAAGGGGCCCCCGGACGTCTATATTGAGACCCTATTTGCACTATTTGACCTCGTCATCCTCTTGTGTCCAGTTCTCCCACCTGGCCGTGTGGGGAAGCATGCTCCTGTGGCTGGTCTTCTTCGGGGTCTACTCGTCCATCTGGCCCACCTTCCCCATGGCACCTGACATGCTGGGCCAGGTAAAGTCAAATCAACGATTGCCTAATAAAATGAATGGCAATGCCATTCAATCTCTCTTCAGTTGGTGCCGTGACCCGGATCCATATAACATTTTAAACTTGCATTTTGCCTTGGAATACATTCACAACGCCTTTTAAAAGTGTGTTGTAGTTTGTGTTGACTTGTACAATTGACGTGTTTCATGATCATTTTCTCGAAACGGCCTCGACTCTTGACAAACAAGGCGGTGGAAAGCCCGCTCACCACCACCACCACCACCACCGCTGATGAAAACACAGAATCCCTCCAGTAGGCAATCGCGCAAAGCCGGAGAAAGTCGGGCCGGAACGACCGCACAGGAACTCGGCGTCAACAAAAGATTGATTCAGCAAAACGCTTTGCCCATCCAGCGAAGAGGTCAAGCGGAACATATGACGCCGAGCAACCTGAAGACGGTACCGGCAAAACTTTGCGCAAATAGGCTTTCCCTGGCATGACCCCGTGTTTTCATCAGTGGCGGGAAATAGCAGGCCTTTCGCTGCCGCGTTTGTCAAGACACAGGTCCTGTTTTCCAGAAACTTGCCACGGACAGCCTAAAAGCCCTTTTCGCACTGCACTTGGTCCGCTTGAAAGGCTCGCGCAGCAGTTGTGGAAAGACAAAGGCGACCGGATTGCCAGTGAAGTGTTGACGTAGCAGCGAGTAAGCAGGGACGCGTTTGCTGCCGGGTTAGATTGCTAAGTGCAGTGTGAAAAGGGGGGTTAGCTATCATTCGATTTAGCAGGAATAGAGTGGTTACCACAATAGTTACTCGTCAAGACTCTCTTCCTGGGTGTTCCGTCACGGGTGCCCACCGGGGAAGGACGTAATGGCGGACTGGCGTCGCGCACCTGCCGCTTGTCACCCGAGCCCCCCCCCGAACCACCTACGTCTTTTACTGCCCTTTGCGGAGGTGTTGACTTAAGAGGGTGGGCTGCTGTTGCTCCTGCTGCTGAGGAGGGACAGCGGGGTGATTGAGAGAGTCGTTGTAGGGATTATAAAGACGGGCAGGGGGGCGCATGGGGGGGGGCTTGAGGTGAGGCGGAAGGGACTCTTGGGCCCGGGCTCCCTCTCAGCCCATTAATTCAATTTGTGTCAGGGATCCGGAATGCGCTCAAATATCCCAGCAGCTGCTCCGTCTGACTGCGGACCCCCGCAACCATTTTTGCAGCGTTACCCAATCCTTGATCTTACCCCACCGACCTCCCTCCCCCCACACCTCACACACACACACACACACACACACACACACACGCACCTTTTTTTTTTATGTCATTGTCCAATTCTGTGGCTCACTCCTCTAGACTGTATATTTCTATTTGAATCGGAGCCCATGTTTTATTTGTGTCTCAACTGTGACTAATAATTCAAAACCCTTTTTGCATGAGTTTTTGCTGTCATATCTGGTTCCAACTGTTGCCAGAGATATTTTCCTCCTAGTTTTTCTGCGTCTTCATCCTGTCCTTCCCCAGAGAGGACCAAATTATTTATGTGCACTCTGTAGTTCCTTCTGCAACACAGTTGCTTCCAGCACGGATACTTTGACCGACTCCGACTTGGGAATTCGTCCAAATGAGCCTCAAGACACATTGCAAACTTACTTTTGTTGCCGAGGCGGCCCGAGTGTGGCGCCAAAGGTTCGGATGACCATTTTCTGGATTCGTCATGAAGAAGGTTGCACAAATGCAACTGGAAAGTTCAGCCCCTGACACCAGTTGCATAGATCAGCATAAAATTGGGGAGACCTGTCTTTCTATCGTAACATGGCACAGGAAAAACTCCCGAGGACAGAAAATCATCCATTTTGGTTTGGAGCAGCTGTTTTGAACAAATTCCAGAGAAAGTCACATTTTGAGGAAAAATAAGCCTCTGACACCAGTTTTTCCGTCCATCCATTCATCCATCTATTTTCTGAACCGCTTTATCCTCACAAGGGTCACGGGGCGTGCTGGAGCCTATCCCAGCTGTCTTCGGGCTGTAGGCGGGGGACACCCTGAACCAGTTTGCAGGGCACACAGAGACGAACAACCTTCTGCGCTCACACTCACACGCAGGGACAATTTAGAGTGTTCCATTAACCTGCCATGCATGTTTTTGGAATGTGGGA